GGTTCTGAAACTCGTTGTTTAGGTCTATCAGATCTATCTCCGAGCAGTATTGCATTTTCAACTGTTCCAAAAACTCTTCCCACGACATCCTTAAGGCTTCTCCTCGTGGCATCGTATCTGCCAATAGCTTCCACCAGCTCAAGACTCCAGTTTTCAGCTGTCTTACTGCGAAGACAGTCTTCTGTTTCTCGTTACAGCTGCAGCTCTCAAACACCATCTCCATCTCAGAGATCCAATCCATAATCTCAACCGGCTTCGGGCTTCCTGAGAGACTTGGGGGTTTCGCACCCAAGAAATTCTTGTATATCCGCCCATCCTTGTTGTTTCTCCCTTCAGGGTCATCCCTTTGCTCACCTTGAGTCCCTACTTGACTCACTTGGCGGCTGTAGTTCCCTTCCTTTGATTGCTCGGGAACTGGCTCTGTCGGTTCAACATGTACGGTAGGTTCGTCCCTATTTAACATTTGTCTCATTTCTTCCCTTTGTTCAGCCAACATAGCCCGAATCATGGCTTGAACTCCAGCCATGGTGACTGGATCAAGCGCAACTTCTTCTACAATAGGTATTTGCTGAACCACTGGGGGTTGGATCCTGTTCCCATTTGCGTTTACGTTTCCGCTACGGGTTCTTGCCATCTTGATCTATACACCGAATAAGGTGAATCTAGATCTTAATTTAGGATTGACGTCTTAAATCATCCTTATCACTCCGAAACGTTTATATGCTAGTTCTAATATCGTAGTCGTACATTTAGAATCCTAAACACATAAGGTTTCCAGATCCGGTCGGCAACAGACCATAGATCCGAACAACTAACAGCATATCAGGCACAAGTATTTAGCACATAAAAGCATTTTAGGCATAATTCCTAAATAAGCTAGTGCTCACACCTCACAATCATCGCTTAGCATTCTAAGTTTAAGTCTAGAAATAGATTCATATTCCTAGTTCGCTTAAACTAATGCTCTGATACCAACTGTGACATCCCATTTTCACGGCCAGAAAAGACCGATTTTGTTTATGCTTTATAAAAATCAGAGTACTTCATTTTATAAAAAGGTTGCGGAATTTGTTCCCAGAAAAACACGATAAATACGTTATTAAAACATTTTCGAAGAAACGTATTTTTATTCATTTAAAACGTTTGGGATGTCATCGTTAATACAGAAACATAAGCATAAACAGAACTTACATGTATTTACACTAGTGATCTACATCTCTTTAAATCTCTCAGTGTAAAGTGACTTCGTATCAACACCTGTGATATAAATAAACTGAGTGGGTCAGGTTGGGAAACCTGGTGAGTACATAGGGTTTTCAACCCACAATAATATAATTATTATGTTCAATCAAAGAATCAACCCAATTACCCATCCCCGTTATCTTTTTTTTTTACTCTTTAAGGATTTATCCTAAGAGTCATCTATTCTTCATTCGTTTATTCCGAAGTCCCTTACTTCCAGGGTTCTAGGACTGGCACTAAATCCATAGCTGCCAATGTTCGTTCATAAAGCACTAATTCCATAGCTGCTATAGTCTATTCATCGGGTACTAAATCCATAGCTACCAGTCTTTATCTAATAGGTACTAAGTCCATAGCTACCAATGTTCAACAGGTACTAAATCCATAGCTACCAACGTCTAACAGGTACTAAGTCCATAGCTACCGGTGTTTGTCCCATAGGCACTAAGTCTATAGCTGCGAATGTATACTCACATCATCTTCTATCTATCATCATTTATCTACCCATCATCATACCCAACATATTCGTATATATAAAATACGTATACAGTTTAAATCCTTTAAAACATGTATAAAACGTTCATCCAGCATAGACAGCAAGTATTCAGATAATATGCACACATAGCACGTAGTTTATATAAAATACTTCATATCTATGTGTAAGATGAAAGAGACTATGCACTCACAACACGTAAATTATATAATAAATACTTCATATCTATGTGTAAGATGAAAGGGACCATGCACTCACCTGAGAAGGTGGTGACTCGGTACTCGGACAGCGCTTCGTTTACTTTAAAATAATTTCTTTCGACGAAACCTAGTATTATCACCAATAGATTTTAGTCTATTATTCGCCGAGACTAATTAATAGTCTAGCTATTATTACTATTATATAAGCGTTAAAAAAATACTTATATAACCCATAATAATAGCCCAAGTATTTATTATATGTTCTTAATAACGTTAATATAATTAAATAAAAACTATATTAAAAATAGCGTAGGCGTAGCTCACTTACAACGGGTTTTATAGAAAACCAGGCTTTGCTTGGAGCAGCGTTTCCGAGCCGAAAAGCTCTTCTTCTCGGAGCCGTCGAGCACTCCGGGGCTTCCGCCTCGTGCTAGGGAGGTTCCCTAGGCTTTTCGGGGGATTTCGGGGCTAGAGAGAGGTTCTAGAGAGAGAGTAAAGAGAAGAAAGAATGGGAAAGGTGTGAAGAAAATGAGGGTGGGAGAGGTGGTATTTATAGGGTGAAAATGGCTGAACTTGGTGCCACATGTCACCATCTAGTGGCAAGACTTGGGGAGAAAGCAATGGCCAAGATTGTGCCACATCACCCATTTTCGCATAGCACACTTCCGACTTCTAAAATCCGTAACTTTCACATACGACCTCTGTTTTTGACGTTCTTTATATCCACGCGTAGGTAAAAATAATATCTACAACTTTCATTTTGACTCCGTCGGCTAATTCTCGACCGATCTTAAATTTAACAGTACGAGGCGTTTAGACTGTTAAATGACCGCGAAGAATTCGTAACTCCTTCATACCGACTCCGTTTTCGTCTGTATTTTTACCGTTGAGTTCCTATTAATGAGATCTTGAACTCTCATTTAGGTCACGTAAGCCAAAAACCGCTCGAACTAAAATTCGAGTTTCGGGTCGTGCACTGCTAAGCCGAATCTTAGAAAAATCATAACTTCCTCATACGAAGTCAGATTTGGGTGTTCTTTTTATCGACGCTCTTAGTTTAACATATTCTACGACTTTGGTTTAGATTGCTAAGGATAAATCTCGCTCTATCGTAAATTCACTATTTACGCTTCCCGGTGCCGTGCCGGTTTTGCCGTAAAACTTCGACGGGCCATAACTTCTTCGTTATAACTCGGATTTCGGCGTTCTTTATATGTACGGAAACCTTGTGACATATTCTACAATTTGGTTAAGATTATTTATTCTAAATAATCTTTTGTCGAAAAGTCATTTTCAACCCATATTGCCTCTAAATTGACTAGCCCGGATCTGCGGGCGTTACAATTATCTCCCCCTTAGGATGATTACGTCCCGGAATCATCAACGAAACAGGGCTCGTATATTGACTCCATACGTCATCTCTTCATCCTAGGTAATAATTATAACTTCTTTATTCATTCGAGTCTATCTTTTAGACTTATTGTCTGTAAGTAGTACTTAATTGTGCACCTGCTATCTTCTTCAGGTTAGACTCCAGATTACGACGTATCATCATGTGATGCTCGTTTAGACTTAGGTCTTTTAGAGTTAAATTCTGAAATAAACTATTCCTTCCTTCACGTTCTAATGTGATATAATCACACTTTAACATGTAGCATTTCTAGCTACCAACTTCTTTAGCGTCGAGCCGATACTTCTATTGGTCTCTTTGATTTTTAATCGTTTGGTTTAAGTCGGACGCTATATCAAACTTGGTTCTCTGAACCACGTAACCTACTCATCGTAGTCGGACTCAATGTGACATGACCACTAGGGTTGGGATAACAACAATCTTCTTAGTCATTACCGAAACAATGGTAACGGCATACTTGAATAAAACGAAATCAA